CCGTTTATCGGTCGCAGAACTCAACCAGACGGCCGAACGACTGACGGAGCTGCAGGGCTCTTGCAAACAGCTTGCAAACAGTCTCTTCATACTCCTAGAGCGCACGGAGGCCATCTGCCTGTGTAATGTGAGCAGTGACTGTGTCAAGGCTAAACAACACAACTCGGAGAAGGTAGTGGTTTGAGTAGGACGCAGCTCGTCTGCTTGCAGGCCATAGTGGTAGGTAGTAGTAGATAAGCTCTTTGGACAACCTTTGAAGGTAGTGATGGTTATAAATGTTAGGATAAGTAGAGGAGGCTCTGACATATGGCTGCTTATCGGTTTGCCTTTTTCAACGTATTTTGACTTTGGCTAAATGACTGTCGAGTAATCCCGTAGGATGAAATGTCGATTTCAGAATTAACGTTTACTGTTTAACTGTCTGTTACACGGACACATGACATCTGCCTGAGGTCCCTTAGATGCCAAGCGACCATTTGGCAGACTAAGGGTTCCTTAGGCATAGGTGTCTTGTGTCGATTACCCGTTTTGGTGTTTTGCTTTTATGGCCTATCTAGTCCATTTGTAAGATCATCCTGACTACAGACGGCAGTTCAACTTCTTGCTAGGTATGTATTCGGTCTCCTGAAGGTCCATTTAAGCTCTGCAACTACTAAATCTGTGGAGAACCGTCAACAATTTAAAGGTAAGTAGAGGAGGCCCACAAGTATGTTCATCTATGGGCTTACTATCCTGGTGCTTTCAATTGTGGACAACGTAGAAGGATGAAGGCATCGAAAACTGGATCAATTTTTGAAGGCAGTCTGTTGACAATGTAGACAATAATGAAGTTAAAGCTGGCCTTCCAGAAAGCTGTTCGAGTAAAGAAATGTGAGAAGAGTCTAGGTGTGGCGTCAATGTTGGTGAAGTTCAATACCGACTATGGTTCGGCCTGCACGAAATGGATTTGAAACACTCATGAGAACTATTGCTGAGCCATGTAGCTGCGGCGTAACCCATTAAAAATGAAGTTCTGAGTTTCGTTTTTCTATAAATTTTATTCTGAATGACTGTCTCCTTGGTTCTTATACCGGTGGTATATGGGAATGATACGACAGT